GGAGGGGGGGGGGGGGGGGGGGGGGGGGTTCTCATGTGCTGTAATTGTTAGACCAGTGACCTCGCATTCCTACAATGCCGGGACGGAGCGATATACATGCCGAGTTTTCGCAGGCCCAGGTTATGTTTCAAAAGGATGAAGCAGACGTCGGTCATCATCCTTGGCGTTTGCTATGCCAAACCAGCCATGCTATGCGGTGATTGGGCATATCCCGGCTCACCGACCGTTTCGCATGGGGTGGGTCATTTTTTTTCAGCGCCATAGTTTTGAACAGACTGGCTGCATCCCCACGGGGGGAGCGTAAACGCAAGATCTTTGGGGGGGAGAAGGGTTTTGGGAAAGGGGAATCATGTTTTTTTTTTGCTCACGTGATTTGTTTTACTGAGGTAGTCAAGGAGGCAGGGGGGGTAGGTCCATGTGGGTGACCCGGGCTGGTGCATCGAACGTATTCCGATACGCTGTAGTAGACGCATGCTAACGAAAGAAAGAAAATGCTACTGCTGCTGTGTCTGCGCTTGGCTTGGCTCTTCTTTTGTGAAGCGTCCAGGGCAAGGATTAAACCCTGCTATTTATATATATAGCCCTACCTTACAGAATCGTGCGTGGGTACAGTATTGACGGCGGCGTCTGGTTGTGCTGCCGTACTAGTTTACTCGTGTCCCGCATCCGCCAATCTGGCGTACGTCCTACACACTGAAGTGGTATGATTTTACCCCTCGCGTAAGTAACGTCCTATCGTACATCAGATATTTCAGTCCCACGTTCATCCCATGTTTTACCCTCACGTACGTCCTACCCTATCCGTAGTAGTTGTTCTCTCACGTATGCATACCTACGGCCCTATCTTTCTTACGTCCTATCTAGAATTTTTTTTACTCTGACTCACAAAACGCCCTATCTTTCACGCCCACGTACGTCTGTTTTTACCCTCACGTATGCCCGACAATCTTACCCCTCACGTACGTACGTACGTCCTGCGTTTCTCGCCCAGGTTGCGAAGGAAGTGTCGGGCTATTCGGACTTCGACCTTCACCAAGTGTGCTCAGGGTTCGACAGCCTCAAGCACCTCTGCCTCTCGGAGGAGACTCTCTTCACCTCGGCCAAGATGGAGAGGCTGAGGGCGCTGTTGCCGCAGCTGGTGTCGGAGGGGCACCGGATACTGCTCTTCTCGCAGTGGACTCGACTCTTGGACCTGTTGGAGGCAAGTGTGCTTGTAGTGTTGTTGTTGTTGTTGTTGTTGTTGTTGTTGTTGTTGTTGTTGTTAGATGTCGGTAAGTGGACGCCGTTGCCATCGTTGCTGCTGTATTGTAGTGTTGTAGTGTCACCTGTGTCCATGTCGTGATGATTGTCTTGGCGCTTCTCTTGCATCCTTTTTTTTTGTGAGGTCGGTGTGTGGGTATGGCGAAAACACAGTATGTAGTTTTTTCGGCCAGCTGGACGAATCACCTTTCTCGACCTCCCACCCA